TCAAACGATCCCTCCTACCATGCGCTTCATGAAAATGCTTGCCAATTGCCGAATTTTTGTGTTCAGCGACACGTTGAAAAAGGTGTCGGGCCGTATAGCCGACATAATCTGCATCGCACAGATCACATACAAAATGATAAACAACGCATCGCTGATTAANGGAATCCGTTTGCACGTTCAGATTAGGTTTGAATTTCTTAATATAAAGCATTTCAAACACTAAACAATCAAATTTGCTTTGACACTTTCTCAGAATCTTAAAATGACTATCATTCGCAATGCGTTGTTTATCATTTTGTATGTGATCTGTGCGATGCAGATTATGTCGGCTATACGGCCCGACACCTTTTTCAACGTGTCGCTGAACACAAAAATTCGGCAATTGGCAAGCATTTCCATGAAGCGCATGGTAGGAGGGATCGTTTGAATGATAGTCATTTTAAGATTCTGAGAAAGTGTCAAAGCAAATTTGATTGTTTAGTGTTTGAAATGCTTTATATCAAGAAATTCAAACCTAATCTGAACGTGCAAACGGATTCCATACGTGCTAAACTTTTTGTTTCATCTGCAAATTATTTTCTCTTATTGTTCGTTTTTAGTATTTATAGAAATTATTTTTATACATTCTTGACTTGATAATGACGTTATGTTAACGTCGAAACATCGTCGATTTTAGCTTTCTATAGCTTTTTATCGTTTTAAATTTTACAATGTTATCAAGCAACGTTTTGTCGCAAGTTTTTATCGTCAAATGGTATCCCAAGTCACTTCTTCTACGTTGCAGGAATACTTGTGTTAAAATCATATTCTTGTGCTATATTATCTTACTGTTTTGGTATATACTAAACAAAATATTCACCTAAAAGCTTGGATTCCTTATTTTCTGCTACGCAATCCGTGAGCCAGTTTTGCAAATCATTAACTAGTTGTAACTCCCATGGATCAACGCATAAATTCCGTGTAAACTGAAAATTATTTTTCTCTGATTTTTTTTATATGGTGGGACATGTATTACAATTTAAACGATGTTTCTTCGCCGTAGAATCATAGCGGTAACTTCTTTGTTATAGTAGACGTTTTTTTGGAAAAATTGCTGCTTACCATAACAATCAAATGGAATGTCAACGAAAATCAAGTCACACCTGCCAAATGATTATTTTTTTGCTCGTTAACACTCGATCATCAAAGGATTGAGAAGTATACGATATTCATAAAACTACTTTGAATTATTCTCGATGCTTTCTAGTTGTGGTCTTTTTTATAACTATCTTTATTCAAAAGACCACCAGGCGCCAAGAGCTATAATAAGACCGAGAGGCTACTCACTGGTTGCTCCGTGGAAAGCTAGGCCAGTTACTTTGTAAAATACGGATCAGAACGTCAGTTTTGAAATTAATTTTGAAATCAATATACATCTTTCTTATTGTAAGCAACCAGGTAAAATAGTTCGCGGAAGAACCCGGAATCACTTTCGCCATGATTGCGTTGCGTTACACAATATTCATGAAGGTTAGGAACGTTTCCTCTCAGTTCTTCAAGTCTTGAAAAATCGATGAAAATATCAATCCACTTGGTTTATTCAGTGTGTTCCGTGAATATATTATTTTCTGGCGATTCACGGGAATTTTGTTTGGTTGCAAACACAGCAGATGGGTCTTTTGAATAAATCATTTCACGTCGCACACCATTATAAAATTACAGTTTATCTTTTCCAATTTAAAATTGCTGCTCTTCAAGTAAGATCGATAAGCACACTTTCTCAATGAATAATATAAAATATTTTGGATTAGCAGGACTATTTTCATAACTATCCTGAATTTCAGGGATGTGTTTTTTCTTTGTCATTGCTGAATGATTAACAAACCAATAGGTCGTCTAGAGAGAAGAATCAGCTTTCGGTGGCAATATTTTCCTAGATGGGTGTGGGGATTTTTCTCTTCTAAATGCTGTTTTATGGTAACATCAAGTATGAAAAGGTTTCAAAGTGTTTAGTTCAGGCGTCCGCCATAGGTTGTGGACGATTTGTGCCACTCTTGATGATCGGCGTTGTTAAAAACGGGTCTTTGAGCGCTGAAGCGATTATTGCTCGGAAAAAAAATATATTTTACATTATTTCGTTTACTTTTAGACTAAGGCAAAGCTTGAAGGAAATAGATTTTTTGAACGGAAATGCATATGCATCGGACCGCTCTTAGAGAGATTGTGTCTTCACAGCGTCGATAATATCGCATTACGTCGTAGACCGTTATGACTTCGTATTCTGTGAGCTGTTTAAATCCTTTGGAACTCGTACAGCCTTTTTTTTATTTTGTTTTTTTTTTTTTTTAATTTCATTTTTATCAGTTTTGTTTTTCTTTTAACGAGAAGCAATATTAAGCAGTCATCATCCTGAAGGTATTTCAACTTTAATTGTTAACTAATCTTACTATCCAAACATGTCAGGTAAAAATATTTTTATCTTTATATGAATAAAGATTTATTTTATTCTTGATGTTTTAGAAATATTATTTCATTGTGTACTAGATTAAATGATTTGAAATACAATTAGTATGAGTACAAACGATGAGTTCTTAGTGGCAACGTTATTTTTTTTTCCCGGTGTTATAAGTAAGTAATATATGAAACTTATACAAAGCAATGCGGATGCTGACCATGAACAAGTGCCATCGGTATGGGATTATACAAGTGGGCCGAGCAATTTCGGCAAACAGGCTTTTTAAAAGTAAGATAACTTTTCTATGAAAAATTGCATTTATTTATCTTTCTAATTCCTAATTATATACAGCGTTTGGCTTCTATAAGTAGGTACATAGTAATCTTACTAAACAGGAGTTGGTGCCATGCAGTAGTTTTTCATGAAGATGACTACACTATTCATGGGAAAAGAGAGACTTCACATTCGCTTGCTGATTGGTATTCGAACGTGATATTTCCTAACCACTTGTGTTGTTCAAAGGTGAATTCTTTGTAACTATACGTATTAACGTTTCGATTGGGCTCGAGCTTTCAATTGTCTTGAAAGTTTTAATTTCTGTAAAGTGTCTTACAAAGATAAGCCGGAAGATATTACACTGTTGGCCTTGTGATGACGGAAGAAGTAATCATTTCAGAATGTTTACAGAATGGGACTTAGTGACTCGTGTTCCGCGACTCTTTAGAGAAAATAGGAGGCCTTATCACAACCGGATTAAAAATCATCTGCCACACGATTAGTGCTTAAAAATCGACTGGCAGTTATCACAGTATTAACGCCATGATGGAAATTTGTATTTTGTAGACTCAATTAGATGTATTCTGTATACAATTCAATTTGGCGAATTTCATTGTATTATCTCTGACATTGAGGATTAGACAGGTGTTTCTCTTCCCATTGTAAACATTGGTCGATAATTCAGCTTCCGTTTTGCAGTTTACAAAAAATTACGAGACTTAAAAGGAACAGACTGAAAAAAAACCCGGCAGTTACTTTGCTATTTATCCCATGATGGGATTTTTGCTTTGAAGCCACAATTAGATGTATTCGATCAGTTGAAACTGTATTGCCAGCGACATGAAAAATTCTTCACATTGTAAACATTGGTAGATAATTCAGTTTTCCGTATCGCGATCTACAATTAAAAGAGACTTAAATATCAACAGATTTAATTACAAAGCTGTTTGTGTAAAATTAAGCAATACAATACCAACCGATTAATTTGCTGGAAAAGCCTTTTCGCGAGGCGGAAGAACTCCATGAAGGCACAGGGGTGGATACAGGAATTTTCGATTGAGGGGTGGGGGTCCAAACTTTGGTTCAGAAAGGACTGTTGGACTCTTTTGAGGCAAATTACTTCTCCCCTACACCCCCCACACCCCCTCCCACCAGTCGCGGTTGCACGTTATAATTCTTTGGCCGCTTACCGTTTACTTGGATTCATTAAAAATATCAGCCAGTTAAAAAGTGATATACGATCCTGTGGATGTAAGAATTCCTGTCTCAAAGTTGTAAGCGTCAGGTCTGATAGGGGGGGTCCGGACCCCCGGACCCTCCCCCTGGATCCGTGCGAATAATCGAGGTTCGACTGTATTGATGAACTATCAGTGTTGTTTCGGTTCATTAACTCATACCTGTCGCGAGTAGCCATTACCAATCGATTTAAGATGACAACTCTGATTACCATTAAACCGTAACTGTCACCTGTTGAAGTCTTTTGAATAGTTGTTGCACCCCGGCAGTGTTGTGTTAGTGATTAATCTTATTAAAATGTTTTGGATAATTCTTTAATTTAATAATCTTATTAAAATGAACTGGATAATTCTTTAACTCTTTTGAGGCAAATTACTTCTCCCCTACACCCCCCACACCCCCTCCTACCAGTCGCGGTTGCACGTTATAATTCTTTGGCCGCTTACCGTTTACTTGGATTCATTAAAAATATCAGCCAGTTAAAAAGTGATATACGATCCTGTTGATGTAAGAATTTCTGTCTCAAAGTTGTAAGCGTCAGGTCTGATGGGGGGGGTCCGGACCTCCGGACCCTCCCCCTGGATCCGCCACTGAGGCACTTATGCAATCTTGAATATTACTGAAAACTTCTTGTTTCGATTGACACATTTCAAATCGTTGCTCAGTTGAAGATGAGTCACAGCAGTCGAAAAGCGAAAGGCGAAAGGATTTAAGCGATATCTGTGAAATCGAAAAACAACTTTTTATCAGCTTTAAGAGTGTTTCATCTTCTTACTCTGACTGAAGCATGCAGAGATCTAAATGGGACAGAGCTCTAATCAATGATGATTCATCAGTGAACCATCGGAATTCCGAAAGAAAACACGTTTTCAAATGTTTACATTGCTGCAGACAATTCTCTTGACTTAACTCCGAAGTCAAGGAAGTTCAATGTTAAGTGTCTTGTTGACGAGCGGATCATCAATCACCCCTATTAAAAACTTCCTGTTTTTCTCCTGGTGATGATATAAATATCAGATTTGAATGGATTCATACAACCAGTTCATTCGCTGAAGTGACTGTTACGTGAACATCTTTCAGGAGGTGAGTTCAATGGAATATTTAGACCTATGCCAAACTTAACTTTGATTCATTAATTGAAACTACCGATAACCTCTCTGACTACTCAATTATACCTTGGTTGACGGTTCCATTTTTGTGTGAATTTAGCGGTGGACCCCCTAGATCCGCTTAGCATGTGCTAATAATGGCTGCGATAGTCGTTTAGGTCCGTAATGTGCAGTTAACTATAAGCAATTGTCGGGAAAAATAATCGTTGCTTGGGGTTTTGGAAATTTATACGAAAAAGTAACTAATTGTTTTAGCACCGAGTGACCTACAGTTCTTAGAAATTTTTAACTGCCCCACTTCGGTTAGAATTAAATTGTTCATTAAACGCAAAAAGGTATTACATTGACGGAAACCTTCCTATTCTGCCTTAGAAACTGATTAGACAATTTAACAGAATGAATCATTTCTTGGATTCCGGTTTCTCTTCGATCTTAATGGCAATTCACTGATCTCGAATAGCCACGAAACCTTGTCACCACTGTGTCGGATCGATTAGGGTTGTGATGGAGGCGATTGGGGAGTGAAATTAATCGGTTTTGACGGTTTTGCAAACGGTTTTCGGTTATGATCGAGTTTTTTTGTGGTTTTGCGGTTAAGAATGATTTATTCTACGGTTTTGAACCCCTCCGATAGCAATGCGAAAATTACGCTGGATGAAATAAAACGTTATCTTAGTAGCGCGATTGTTCTCATGAAAATATCTTTCAAAAAGTCAGTTTGATAGAAATTCCGGAACTCTTGTATTGACTGACTTCCCTGCCTAGATTGATCCTGCAAATATAGTGTTTTTGTTTTTGTTTTCGCTCAAGCTTTTATTCCAGATTCCCGCTTCGTGTGCTCTTATGGAACTTTGTCCATGTTTGTCAACCCCTAGTTTCCGACTTTTTTTGAGGCAAAAACCGTTCTTGCGATAACTCGGTTTCCATAATTGATCTTTACCAAATTTGACCTCTCTCCAAGAAAGTTGAATTTTGTTTCTATTTATCAAAAACGTGTCTTTATTCTTTTTTCTTTGCAGTATAACTTACACGTGGTTTGTTTACAGGAATGAGGAAGGTTGTTTGGTTCGCAGAAATTCTTTGGCTTTCATGGTTTTTCTGTGCAATAAGTTCCGGGTTGGACCCTGGAGAGCAGGCCAAGGTAAATGCGGCTCTCGATATGGCTCAGTTTTCACTTAATGCTGTTAACGAAGATTTTCAGGCTGAAGCAAAAACCATCAGGGAGTTGCGAAAGGTTTCGGCTCAAACGAAAAGTGCTGATTTATTGCAGAAGCAGACAAAATTAGCCAAGATCGGTTCCAAAGTTGGCAAAGCTCTTAAAGCTGTGCAGGCTGTATCTGCCGTTGCAAGTTTCGTGTTTGCTTTCTTTATGCCAAGTGAGCTCGATGTCATCACAGGTTTGATAAACAAACGCTTCAACGAAGTCAACAATAAGCTGAATCGTCTGGACGAGAAACTCGACGAAATCGAGAAATCCATCAATGCGAATACCGCTTTCAACACTTTCTTGTCTACCTGGATCAAATGGGAGTATAAATCGAGGAATGGAGCCAAGAAATTATCCAGCATCCGCAAGCTAATGGGGACTAAAACAAGAAGAATAGAACAAGTAAAGCTCGCCGAAGAATACGTCAAATATTACGAAAACAATAATTTGGACGGCAACTTGCTGAACCTCTACAGAATGGCAGCTCTGCCAGAGGCTACCACCCAGCGAAACATCTTCGACAGATTTATCGCTAAATTTGGCTGCGATATAACGAAGCTGTCAGAATTAATGATCCTCATCAAAAACATAATGACCAGCGCTGCTCAGCAGAAAATGACTTACTACTACTTCAAGGGCTACCAAAGTAGAGCCAAGAATGGTTTCAAAGACATCCAGACGTACTTCTTCAAAATTCGTCGAGCCTTTGACGATCGAGTCTGGCACTGCAGAAGAAACTCTCTGAGCCACGCGAAGAGGGATGCTAACAAGATTTTGAAGACAGTAAAAGGCTCTACCCGTGAAGGCATAGTTCGAACCATCTTTGAAAAACTTAAAGTCAAGTACCCCTGGTACACATGGGCAGTGGCAGCAGTCAAGAATGACCGTCCAAGGATACGTGGCAGTACATATTTTCGGGTAGAGGACCGCTCTGATCCCAAGAAAATAAAGGTGTATTTTGTAGTTCTCGAGGACACTAAGTCGTCTGCAAACTGCAATGATATTACGCAAGCCAAGACCTTGCTAGTTTTCAAAAAATGCGGTGGGTGCAATTCCGACTATATCTCTGCCGCTAATAACATTCTGTCTACGAAGAGATGCGGAAGCTCGACGCTGAAGCGGGTTGTTAAATACCAGTGCTCCAGGTGCGGGTTTATTGCATCAGCAGTCAACACCATCAACGATATATGTCAGTTAGACAGTTGCAGTAGCCATGGTCAGTGCAGGCAAATACCATTCACGAAAACTCATCGATGTATCTGTGAGAAGAACTACGAAGGAGGATCGTGTGAAAAACGCTTAGACTTCGATGACACCATCGATAAGCTTATCGCGGAATTAAGAAAAACTTTTAAAGTTGTAAACAACGTTCCTACCACTGTGGACGTGTTCTTCTCCATAAGGTCGCTGTCCAAGAAGTTAAACGTGGTTTTACAGAAGATCAAGGCTTCCTTCGCCCACACGAATAACATTATCAAACATTCCCAAATAATTTACACCGTAGAAGATATAGCAGATCTCTATGCAAAACTCCAGAAGAACGAGATGACTTTTGATCAGTTTGGTCGAAAAATCGATAAGTATTTGCAGACAGTTTCTACTTTTAAGCTACAGAACAGATTGAAGAAGATGATTCTTGGTCAAGGTACTTTAGACACCCCTGGAAACGACATCTATAATTCGTACAAGCGAGAATACCTAAGTCACAACGGAGGCGGTTGCTCCGCAAAGTACAATAAAGACATCAAGGGTTTCAGAGACAGCTTAGCTTACTTGGACCAGGCATTGGGAGAGGCGCTCTTACTGCATCAAAAGTGGTTGCTTGAGACGAAAGGAGAAACAGAAAACCTCCGCAAAAAGTACAAGAAAGAAGCAGAGTACATACGAAACATCTTCAAAAGTCGGCAACAGAAATACAAGCAATACTGGAAGAAATACAGCTGTGATCCTATTAGTGTTAGTGGTACGAGTGTTTCGTGCAAGGACCAGTTGACCTTTGAAGGCATGACTATAACTTTAAGGTGCAACAAGCAGAGGCGCTCGACTCCGGGACAAGTTACTTGCAAGAAGATCGGCAATATCTTAAAATGGGACTCTCAACCAAAATGTAAATACGTTTGTGGAAATTTTGGTCGCTGGGGTCGCTGTTCGAAGAGCTGTGGAGGAGGGGTCAAGTTCCGTTACAGAAGTTGCTTAGGGACAAGCAATGTCAATAACTGCAAAAGAGACCAAGGTGGATCACATTACCAGACTGCAAAATGCGAGACCCAAGACTGCTGCTCTGCACAGTACGGGAAGTTCAGATGTTCCAATGGAAGATGCTTACGTAAGAGTTGGCTTTGTGATGGAGATAATGATTGTCGCAACAACGATGACGAAAGCAGGTCTCGATGTCCACACTTCATTCGCTCGGGTGACTTGATAGCATTGAGAAGTAACGCCAGAAGAAATAACTGGTTGAGCTGTTATTGCACTGTCAACTGTGGTGTTGATCGTTGCAAACTTCGACGTTGTCCTGGAAGTCAAATGACGGGAAGCGATTGGAGTTCCTGCAGCAGTGAAACATTCATACTGTATTTGACACACTACAGTCGTGGGGAACCTGCTAGATATGGTGACTCAATCGCTCTTTATTATGGTGCGGGCCACTGGCTGAGTTGCTGGGGCAGTGGAAGTGTTTGTCCGACGAGGAATTGTCCCGGTTACGGCAGGTGGGATTCCAGAGATACAAAGAAGTGTCGTGGAGAAAGATTCTGGATATATTCACCCGAACGTCAAGGCAGGTGTTCCACCAACACAAAAGTTGGTTGCCGAGGAAAACCAATACATAAGGGTGATAACGTCTTCATACAATACTCCATCCAGCGTGGCCGGAGAGGGTATTGGCTGAGCCAAGACAATAAGGACATCAGAACCCGAACCTGCCCTGGCATTTACATAACTAAAAGTGACAAAAGACGGTGCAGTAGTGAAAGCTGGGACATTTTTGCCCGCTAGGGGTCATGTAGACGGCAGGACATTTACTGCTAATAGTGCGATTGTTTTGCTTGTTTTTTTGGTTTTTTTTTTTAATTTTCATACCTCTTGTTTTTTTTTTCTATCTCATCATCATTTGAGACTTCTTCAAAGGGTCATATTTATCATGATTCAGCCGATTTAGGCAGTACGAACATCGTTGAAAGCGACGGGTCCTAGACGGCAGACCTGCGATAATAAATTAAAGCATTTCTATTACACAAATTCTAAGCCCCGGCTCGTTCAAACGTGCATGACAAATTGCAATCAAAATAAAATTACCAACAACGTGAAACTCTTTGAGCACGACTTGAAATGTGAGATGTTTTAAACATGTTTTAAAGTCGTAGGTCCAGGCAATTTTGAATGAGTAGAGTTGCATGTGCACAGATGGAAGCTAGGAACGACACCGTAACGCCTAAATCGGTCTTCAAAATTCTTTATTTAAAGGAGCTATCTCAGGTTATTTTGTGGTCTTTGAGGCAAACTTCGGGTTAATTCAAAACTTAGAACATTTCTATACACAAATTGGTCTCAGATCTCTAACAGAAGGACAAGGTACTTTTCAACGTAGAAGCGGTTTATAATGGTTCTTACCAGACAGGAGAGTTAAAAGTTGAAAAACAGTGGACCACTTTTTTAAGTCTTTGTTCGTTTCCATCTTGGCCATCTGTAGGCAAGAAGTCCTAATTTTTATTAGACTGCACAGTAGTAAGATAGTCTTTAACAAAACTGAAACGTTATTTTGAGTTTTCATCGGTACAAGCATCGCCTCTGGCTTGTTAAATTCATGGCAGACACTCTTGAAATAGCCCTTTTAAACCAAACTCTTCCACTATGTTTTTGTTTCAGTCTTTCATCAAATAATTTAGGTGAGCTTAGTAGACAGAGAACTATCCTGACTGCGTTCCATGCAAAAGGGCTGTGGAACTACTAAGTTTGATCGTAGAATAACACTGAAATACTGCAATTAGTTTGGGTTTAGGATAGACTAGCTCGCAGTCATTTAGTTGCCTATGCTTTATTAAAAGTTTTAAAAGAAGGGACCACGTCGCAAAAAGTACCCCCAGTTATTTAACCATGATAGAGTGCTTGAAAGCAAAATCGCTAACTAACTTTCGGTACTTTTAAGATAATAGGGTGTTGGAGCTGTTTTCAAATAGGTTAGTGGTTCAGCTCGAATAAAGAGGCCACCTTTTTTAACAGTATAGTGGTGCAACGACCCATCCTTTGCATCGCGTTGTACATGTTCAGAACTTCTGAACAGCGTGGTTTCTTGCGCTTTCATTTCTGCTGTTACCGTAGAAACGCAGTCCAGCAAGAAAAAAATGAATTGGATTTTCAATTCAAAATCTTTTCCCCAACAGGATTGTGACTTAGTTAATTTAGTGATTTTCTTAAGTTCAGTAAAAAAAGTGATGATTCCAATGATTTTGCTGATTAACTGGAAACGTATTGTGGGTATCAAGTAGGATGTAGCTATATATAGTGATAGATCAAATTCTCTGTAATTGATGATGACAGGCACAACCAATCAAGTGTATTAGGATATGACCGGATTTGACGTTACGAACGGTCAACTGGATCGAGTCAATAATAAACTTGTTGACCACAATAACAAGCGAACTTTACTGTCTCACGAAGTACTAATACAGAAACGTTGAAAAAAGCTTTTGTAGGAAGACAGCTAGGGGTGGAAGAAACCAATTGTTTCTCTGTTGGGTTTATACGTTTCACGAGACTGGTTTCTTTCCGGACAGGATATGGCCCCACCTGAAGAAAAAAACCAAATGACATCATATATCAACAGTTTTAGGCCCTGTCTACTCAAATGCGCTTTTAAAACTTCCCTTTTCATGTGTTCTAAGCGTTGGCGCATTCGTTAGGTACATTACTGCGTTTCAAAACTCTTACATTGTCGAAGGATGCCACTTTTGAGACCGCTTTAAAGAGTTTTCATGCGTATTATCTGAGACTTTAAACCGCTGAGCACTTTGGTTTGAGCAAAAAGAAACGCGAACACCTAATCGCAGGTTATTTTTTATTCCTCCTTCAGCGTTTGACTCAAACCACACATTTGCAGATATCATTTAATTGTCAGGAGCGTAACTCGCTTATTAGGAAGCGTAAACAAGGAAGAAAAAACGAAGACGTGGAGGAAAATTCGAGGGTCACTTTCTCGCTTTCACTCCCAATTTCTTTTCTTCTTCTCCTTTGTCTTCTTCTTCTTCGTCTTCTTTGTCGTATTCCTCATCTTCGTCTTTGTCTTCGCCCTCTTCTTCTTTTTCTTCTTCATCTTCTTCTTCATCATTTATTATTCTTCTTCTTCTTTTATTCTTCTTCTTCTCTTATTCTTCTTCTTTTATTCTTCTTCTTCCTTTATTCTTCTTCGTATTCATCTTCTTTTATTCTTCTTCGTATTCATCTTCTTCTTCGTCTTCTTTTTAGTCTCTTTTTTCATTTTCCTCTTCTTCTCCTTCTTCTTCTACATCTTCTCCTTATGATGATAATTGTGTCGTGATAAGTGTCTGCTTAGTGTATCGCATTGACAAGACACCTTGTTCACTACTTGATACAATTATCAAAGTCTTTTCAGTTTAACTACAACCATGTAACTGTTGGTAGTGAGCTCATCAAGCCTGCCTAACCAACTGATGCATGCTAGCGCATCTTTCAGTCACGATCATTACAATTTCTACCGTTATACAAAAGGGGTGTGTTTATTGTTTTTGTTTAACTTCCCTTTCACATTCTATGAGTGGAGGTGAGGAGACAAGGCAAACGGCAATGATAAACATTCATGAGAGTCAAGAAGATTATCAAATTCTGAACGCAGAGTTTTATTGTCAATTACACCATCGTGCTCTTTGCTTGCAGTATTGTTTCAAGTTAGGGTTAATGAAAAGTGTGCAGAAATAGGTAAATAAATAAATAGCGTCAGCAGAAAGTACTACAAAATAATTTTAATTTCTTACCCATATATTCTTGTATGTATTGGATTTATCTATAGGGTTATGGGAACCATGCACGCTCTATCTAAGCCATGTACAGAGCACGGGCTAATCCGGGACTCTCTCACATTCAATTTTTGGTAGAAACAACTGATGAAGTCGGTTACCTATAAAGTGTCCCAGTACAGTACGTCTACGGCTAGGTAAATACCACTGTACTGTCCTTCTACTAACTGCTCTTTGGTATTCCAAGCAAAATCACCCCCCCCCCCACGTGGATCATCAGCCTCTCCCTGACGGCTCCATTCATTGACTCCCTTCACTAATGGCTGCACAAAGCTGGGATTGGTAAAAAATGGCGTGTTGGAAGAAGTACCCATGGGAAACGGTTAACGAACATAAGACACAAATCAAAACGAAAAACAAGCACGTTGCGTTCTGTGGTCAGGAGACGCGCCCAGGATCTTGATGCAGCTTCGAAAGGTGTGGTAACTTCGCAGCATGATAGACCCTGTTTTCAAACTCTTGTATTATCAGTTGGTGCCAATATCATGCGTGTGAAATATTTGCCAATTAGGAATTTCGAGAGAAACAAGTCGAAGAACTATTTTGGGTTGACTTAACTTGGCTTGCACACAACTGTTGATATTACTTTTACTATAACCCAATTGCAAGTCTCTAATATAATTTTAGTTTATGAAGCTCTGCCAGGGTCGAATCGCAGGATGGTTTACGAGCTCTTTACCAGGACGGAATAATAAAAACGTACACCAAGACACCAGCTATCCTAATCCACAAAACAAATCCAACGGTTTCTACGTGAATTCAACTAGTGTCAGCCAAACACAAGGAAAATACTTACGCAGATTGGTCCAACCCACATCAGTTTCGGTTACACACGAAGAGCAGTAAATTTTGTGTCAATGATACAGCCTTCCGAGAAAAACTTGTAAAATATCTAATAACGACAGCTCGTGCTTCACAAAGAAAGGCTTACCTTAAAACAGGTACATGAAGCAATGAAGAAACCGGTTTTTGTTTCTCTTTGTTTTTCGTCAATTCTTATTTAGGAGCCAGGCTTTTGAAACACACGCTGGTACTGAAACCTGCCGTTACAACGAAGAAGAGGTGTCCCCATGTAAAGAATTTATTGGCTGAATCCTTCTGGGTTACAAGGCTCAATTTTTGGAAATGCTCTAATTCTCGAATTCGCTGTTCTCTCTATAAAATGCTGTCTGTGTTCAAGACCACCGACGAGGTTCTGGTCAGTAAAACTCTCAAGTGTCACTAAATCCTATATCACAGACCCACATCCGGTGTGGTAAAATCAGATAATCACCAACTTAATCAAATTAAATGAGTCTGTGTGCGGTTTCACGAGTGTTCATTTTTCTTGGCTATTTCTGTTAATTGTTCTATTATTTCCGTTGAGTTTATTTTAGTTCAAGGTAGGCTCGATTTCTTCACACCCCTTTTATAAAGTGCTTGTACTTCAAGAACTTACATGCTACGTAACGATGTCACTCACAACTCCTTACCTTAATCGCTGAAAAATAAGGCTTAGGATTTTATTCTTTCTCTAAACGAGTTGTCTGAAAAAATAAAGGTGTGTGAGCCAGGGGCTCTCGTTACCAGGAGCTCTCCCTTTTCCTCCCTCGAGAGTACAGAAAGTGCCTTGGAACAAGGTTTGTGTCACAACATGACAAAGTGTGAACTGAGAAGCATAACGAGGATTCCACGAAGATGACAGCTACGGGTTTCCCTTAACCCCCTTCTCAATTGCCGTTACCTTTATTACTTTCCTCCACTCCTTGTGTGCTAAATATCAGTCAGATACGGATCAAAAGAAGTTGATGCATCTATTCAATTTTCTTTTTAGTATCTTCCCAAGTCTTTACTATCTCTCGACCCCTGCCAAGATATTTTTCGCCGCTCAATCTAAAACTATACAACATTTTTGGATTTCCAGAAGCACGCACAAGCATTCCGATGTTTGGTCATTATAAACAAGCCAGGATGCAAAAGAAGACATCAGATTCTAAAGCATTCCCTAACAGCTGACCGCTGTTTAAACTTTTTTATTCCCAAAGAGGGCGAGTACAAGTACGTACTTCAAATGGAAGAATGATCCATGAGCTATTTACTGTCTACACCTTTCCACGATCTATCATGGCTGCAGAAGAACTTTCCCAGTTGTTTGCCTCCCTTCTAACATGTCATGCGCCTTTTTCACATCAGACAAGGGAACCACTGTAATACCTCCGCTAAATTTGAGTTTTCCTTCCGTCAACCAAGTGAAAAGCTCTGTGGCTCTCTGGCTGTATTCAGCTGGATCCTCCACAAAGTGAAAATTGACGCCATATGTGACGTAAAATGAACCTTTGGCAAGTACGCTGGTATCGAGAGGCTCAGGGCGACCCGAAGCTCCACCGAATAAAACAACGGTTCCTCGGCGTGCCAGACAACCGAAATCTAGAGTTAAGAAAGAGGACGACTGAGTTCCCTTTATGTCAACAAATCATTCGCCAGATGCTTTCTATCATTTAAAACTCAGATAACAGGAGTGGCATTGACTTAAAGTTCTTATTACGGTATATTCAAATCCTGCACCTGTTACAACGGTGCATCCCTTATTTCCGCACATTTTGAATTTTAATTCTCGATCCCTATTCGGAGGAGAATCTAACAGAAGAAGCCCATCCACTTTCCCCGAATAAGTTAGGGAAAGCTTGACAAATGAGCCCAACCATGACGAGTTTTGTAAATTCGCATTGCCATTATTTCGTATAAGTTTTCACTTCACTGTTTCTTATTAACCATGCTTGATCCATAATGATGGTTGGATGTCACACCCTTTCTTTTGCGTTCTAATGAACCAAGACGAAGTTCCAAAGCGTACAGAACAATTATCAAGTGGGCGTCGAAAGTTATTCGTGATTGCTTCAGTTTTGGTTTTCTTTTCTCTTATTGGTCCTGAACTTTGTTAACCAATCAGATTCAAAATTAAAACCACTCAAGACTTGGTCATCCGTGTTTTCCCGCCCTTTGGGCAGTTTGCTTGTTTTCACTTTGAGTTTCTATTCGCTCCTGGTGAAATTTTTTTTCTGTTCTGATTGGTCGTTTTAGTTACTTTGGTTTTGGTTTTACGGAAATTAATAAAAAATCGTTCTATATCTAACACTGGGTCAATAACGCATAAATGTACCTCTTGCCATGCTTGCGCGTCACCTGGATCAGTGTACAGTTCTCACGCATAATTACTTACCCTTCAGGAATGTCGTCTTTCCCACGCCATCATAAATAACATTTACCCCTTTTCCATCAGTAATCCTGTTGACTTCTTCAACAAAATCTTTCTGTGAGTAAAGTATGACCTCATCGGCACCAGCTTCCCTCGCTTTTGCTGCTTTGGCCTCAGTGCTAGTTGTTCCAATCACAAAAGCTCCTGTTAATCAGCGCAAAAAATTTAAATGAAAAAGTAGAAGACAAAGATGAAGAAGAAATTACTTGATTGGTTTTCCATTTATTGTATTTACCTTAATTTTGACAAAAAAGTTTGTTGCCCTTAAAAAAAAAAAACAACAAAAAAAATTGAGATTGCCTGTACCTGTATTCTTTGCAATCTGAGTAATCAAGCTGCCGACTCCGCCAGCAGCTGCATGAACCAAAACTTTGTCTCCAGCTTTGATTGGATAAGAAGAACATGCAAATGCATGTGCAGTGAAACCCTGCCATAAGGTGCTGGCAGCTTGCTCCATGGTGAGCTGATCAGGAACTTTAACAGCATGTTTGGCACCAACTTTGCTGTACTGTGCATAGGCACCTTCAAACAAGAAAGATAGTTATGGTAAATATAAGTATGAACAAGGGTGACTTGAGCATACAAGTTATAAGAGGTAATGTTATACAATAGCTGATGAGGTTTGTTGAGGAGGTAATGAGTCAATTGCATACGTTCCCCCCCTCTCCCATCATAGAGATCAAGGTCAAAGAGATCAGGAAGAAGGAATTGGCCATACCCAGAGAAAAAAGCTGTAAATTATGTTTCAGAGCAATGACCATGTGGCTGGGAGGCTGGAGGGCAGACTTAAGTAAAGTGAAATGAGAAAAGTTTTAATGAGTGGCCTTCATAATAACTTACTCGTGCCAATAAAGCCAAATGCAACCCTGTCTCCTACACAGAGACCCTGAACACCGGAACCCAGTTTCTCTACTGTCCCTGCTCCTTCAAATCCTAAGATTCCTCCAGGTTGTACTAGTTTCATGATTCCTTGTCTGACATAAGTATCAATGAAGTTTAAACCAGCAAAATGATTCTTTACCAGGACCTGCATGGTAAATGAAGTATATAGATCTAGAGGTTGGATAAACTTTCCCTTTGCCATCGTCTGAAATGACACAATTGATATCATAATCATAAAACTCCTTTCAGGGGTTGCCTGGGGCAGGATAGTAACACATGTGAAAGGAACAATATCTATGGATAAAATTTATTATTAACCACATTTATTGATGGGTATTTCTCATCTGTTACACAGTCCACAAGTGATTATAAGCAGTCAACAGTATCACTGCTCTTGTGATTATAGGGCTGCACATGTTCGCATTAGTCAAGGATGCATCATATTACAATCACCACATTCGAGGTGATTAGGGGGGAATCCTTGTTTACAATATTTGCCTCATTAGCATAAGCAATTGAGTTTCTGATGGAGCTAAAAATAAATCAGTTCTGAATATCGAAAGGTCAAAGTATGATTAACTCAGCCAATGAATACGAGCCTGATGCATTGAATACTTTTTGTGCAACACGGGTGTAAAAACTCAAAATTTTACATAGAATGTATGAGCTCATTAGCGCTTTTGCCACCCAGAAATTTTGCAGTTTTTGATGGACCTTGAATATTACACCCAAAGAGCTGAAAATTTCACCATGTACTAAGGTTTTCTGGTTCTTTACCTGCCTGAAGTCAATTTGTATCTAACATGCTTCCTTCTTTATGCAAAACCGTATGCAAATGAGCAAAAATGTAAACAATGACATCAGCATGAATCCGCCTATAGCAGAGGTGTTTAACTTTACTTTTAACCTTTTCACTTTTGAGATCTCAATAGTAATTCTCCTTACTGTCTGCTATACAATTCATATGACATTAGTTCAGAGAATTTGGTACTGGATCAACAATTTATCCCCTAATTGATATTTCGCTTTATTCTCATCACATGTCTGCTTGATATTGCATTGATATTGTAAGGAGAAATTCTGTCTTAGTTGCTCATGGGAGTGAAAGGGTACAGTATACAGACTTCTTGTCGCTGTTTTTTGATGTGTGATCATGAGGAGTTGGAAACAAAGAAAATACAACATACAATACAATACAATACAATACAATATAATATAATGTTCTTTATTTCGAGAGGGTAGATACATGATTAACCCAGTAAAGAGTTTTCTAACACATGGCCCTCTAATAAACCCACCCAACCC